TGCCCATGATGACGTCTACCCCTGTGCCACGATAAACCAAATCCAGAAAACTACGAACGTTTCACCAAGCTTGTGCTCAAAGTAGCCCACTCACACAACAAATGAAAGCCAGAATCTGGAAAAGCTCTTCTGGACTCCCTAAATTAATCCAGAAAAAAAGGTGGACAGAAGCAATGGAGCCATTAGATTTTACGTACTCAAGCCGTAAATCCTGGCGCTTCCTGAGACATCTAGGAGTGGCACCACCACCAAAAAACAACATTGCCAATGTGCCCGTCAATGCTATCGCCGCACGAATGCTGCTAAATGTAAAGATCACTATAGACCCGCACAAAAGACAGCGAGTGAAGGCACAACTCCACCAATCAATAGAATGTGCACCGACAACAGCCATGTCATCCCCCTTCACTGAAGAAGAGGTCATTGATGTCATAAAAGCCACCAGGTCAGGAAAGGCCGTAGGATTAGACGGAATTTATCCAGAGTTCCTGAAACACCTTGGCCAAAAAGGATTCCGCTGGCTGGCCAGATTGTTTTAGGAAACAATCGCCTCAGGCAAAATTCCTAAACAATGGCGACAAATGAAGGTCATTGCCATTCCGAAGCCTGGAAAATCAACCTCAAACCCATATAACTTCCGCCTTATATCCCTGCTTAGTATGGTATACAAACTCCTGGAAAGGATGCTACTGACCCATATATCACCGATCGTCGAGGAGGCTATACCAACTGAACAGGCCGGTTTCTGCCCTGGCCGCAGCACATGCGACCAAGTGCTTCCACTCACCATGCACATTGAAGCTGGCTACCAGCGCAAGGACATCACATGAGCTGCTTTCATCGATCTGTCAGCAGCATATGACACAGTATGATGGGAGGGCCTCATGCTAAAGGTGTCAAAGGTCATCAGATGCCAGCAGACCCTCCAACTCTTGTCATTGCTACTGTCCAAACTGGCGATACCGTGTCCACTTCAGGAACACTGTCAGCAGAGCCCGATTACTCAACAACGGACTCCCACAAGGATCAGTACTTGCTCTGGCATTTTATTTACATATATATGTGACCTCCCTGTCACCATCAACTAGAAATTGGGCTTCGCCGATGACTTGGCAGTTGCTGTCCAAAGAAGGACCCAAACTTAGGTCCAAAACAACCTGTGCAAAGACCTGAAGAAACTTGAAATGTACTTCAAATACTGGAGGCTCCGCCCAAACCCAAGTAAAACTGCCATTACATCATTCCACCTGAACAATGCAAACGCCGACCAGAAACTGGTCATCATTTTCTGTGGCAAAGAGGTCCAACATGAGAAGTTCCCAAAATATTCTCGACAGAATCCTCACCTTCCGTGGACACCTGCAGCATAATGCTGGTAAAAACAAAATCACGAGTTAATTTCGTGCATAAACTGGCCAGAAAAACATGAGGAGCAAACGCAACGATGCTTCGGACGGCCACCATAGCACTAGTCTTCTCTGCGGCATAATATTTAGCCTCAGCATGGACCAAAATCGTGCACACGAAGCTGGTTGATACACAGCTAAATGCAGCCATGAGGATCATCTCAGGGACGCGAAAGAGCACACCGCTGACGTGGCTTCTGGTCCTCACAAACATCGCTCCTCCACAGCTCCACTGTGATGCCACGTGTGTGAGGGAGTACCGCAAGGCCATCAGAAATCCAAACCTCCCAGTAAACAATGACATCTCCATGCCACCACCGCACAGGCTCAAATCCAGAATACCTTTCTGGCAATATTCAAAAAACCTCCATGACGACAACAAGACCATCGAAGCACGATGGAGGGAAGCCTGGGCAAACACCAACATACTGCAGAAATCTATCACCAGCGACCCCACAATCCTCCAATCCGGATCTGACCTACCGAGGAAGAACTGGCCCTCTTTGAATCGGTTCCGGACACTCCATGGAACATGTGGACACTTTCTCCATAAATGGAAATTTTACGAGAGACCAGTTTGTGACTGTGGTGCAACATCTAAGGACGTGCAACATATCGTGAACGACTGCCCAATCAGATTATTCAATGGTGATCTTAAACAAATCTACTCCTGAAGCAGTGGAATGGATATCAAATCTCGACATCAATTTGTAATCTGTTGCTACCTCCAAAAATGCCATACGAAAGAAGAAGACCAGCCCGAGGTCACGAACGTGTTGAGAACAGAGACGCCTCTGACAATGTGGGGTTAAGTCCATTAGAATCACGTCTATTGTTTTGAATTTCATCACGTGGACTTCTCTGCTCAATTCATTTCACAGATATTCAATGGCGATCTTAAACAAATCTACTCCTGAAGCAGTGGAATGGATATCAAATCTCGACATCAATTTGTAATCTGTTGCTACCTCCAAAAATGCCATACGAAAGAAGAAGACCAGCCCGAGGTCACGAACGTGTTGAGAACAGAGACGCCTCTGACAATGTGGGGTTAAATCCATTAGAATCACGTCTATTGTTTTGAATTTCATCACGTGGGCTTCTCTGCTCAATTCATTTCACAGAGGGCTCTAACATAAAAATGACAATTGGCATAACATTAATGGCGAGAAAATGTTGCCAAGATGCCAATGCTCAAACACCTGTGGATTGCGCAGCCTGCAGATCCTACTTTAGACCAGGCAGCTCCAGAGATAAAACCTCTATTTGCAGAAGACTCCTCTGGTTATCGTAATGACTATCCCTGTATCTTGGGCGCCATCTTGTCAGGTACCACGGCCGCTATCCCATTGAGTACATTAGGCACCACCTCACCACTTGCTTCGAGCACCACTTTGTCACATACAGTGAGGGAAAAAAGTATTTGATCCCCTGCTGATTTTGTACGTTTGCCCACTGACAAAGAAATGATCAGTCTATAATTTTAATGGTAGGTTTATTTGAACAGGGAGAGACAGAATAACAACAAGAAAATCCAGAAAAACGCATGTCAAAAATGTTATAAATTGATTTGCATTTTAATGAGGGAAATAAGTATTTGACCCCCTCTCAATCAGAAAGATTTCTGGCTCCCAGGTGTCTTTTATACAGGTAACGAGCTGAGATTAGGATCACACTCTTAAAAGGAGTGCTCCTAATCTCAGCTTGTTACCTATATAAAAGACACCTGTCCACAGAAGCAATCAATCAATCAGATTCCAAACTCTCCACCATGGCCAAGACCAAAGAGCTCTCCAAGGATGTCAGGGACAAGATTGTAGACCTACACAAGGCTGGAATGGGCTTCAAGACCATTGCCAAGCAGCTTGGTGAGAAGGTGGCAACAGTTTGTTCGATTATTCGCAAATGGAAGAAACACAAAAGAACTGTCAATCTCCCTCGGCCTGGGGCTCCATGTAAGATCTCACCTCGTGGAGTTGCAATGATCATGAGAACGGTGAGGAATCAGCCCAGAACTACACGGGAGGATCTTGTCAATGATCTCAAGGCAGCTTGGGACCATAGTCACAAAGAAAACAATTGGTAACACACTACGCCATGAAGGACTGAAATCCTGCAGCGCCCGCAAGGTCCCCCTGCTCAAGAAAGCACATATACATGCCCGTCTGAAGTTTGCCAATGAACATCTGAATGATTCAGAGGACAGCTGGGTGAAAGTGTTGTGGTCAGATGAGACCAAAATGGAGCTCTTTGGCATCAACTCAACTCGCCGTGTTTGGAGGAGGAGGAATGCTGCCTATGACCCCAAGAACACCATCCCCACTGTCAAACATGGAGGTGGAAACATTATGCTTTGGGAGTGTGTTTCTGCTAAGGGGACAGGACAACTTCACCGCATCAAAGGGACGATGGACGGGGCCATGCACCGTCAAATCTTGGGTGAGAACCTCCTCCATTGAAAATGGGTCGTGGATAGGTATTCCAGCATTACAATGACCCAAAACACACGGCCAAGGCAACAAAAGAGTGGCTCAAAAAGAAGCACATTAAGGTCCTGGAGTGACCTATCCAGTCTCCAGACCTTAATCCCATAGAAAATCTGTGGAGGGAGCTGAAGGTTAGAGTTGCCAAACGTCAGCCTCGACACCTTAATGACTTGGAGAAGATCTGCAAAGAGGAGTGGGACAAAATCCTTCCTAAGATGTGTGCAAACCTGGTGGCTAACTACAAGAAACGTCTGATCTCTGTGATTGCCAACAAGGGTTTTGCCACCAAGTACTAAGTCATGTTTTGCAGAGGGGTCAAATACTTATTTCCCTCATTTAAAATTTTTGACATGCGTTTTTCTGGATTTTTTTTGTTCTTCTGTCTCTCACTGTTCAAAGAAACCTACCATTAAAATTATAGACTGATCATTTCTTTGTCAGTGGGCAAACGTACAACATCATCAGGGGATCAAATACTTTTTTCCCTCACTGTATATGGCGAAGGGCAAGCAGGCGAGGTCTGAGCTGGAATGGAATTCCATCCCCAGACGCAAGCACGTCAGTTGTGTTAATGTGGGAGATTAGGGAGAGAGAGATAGTTGCTCTCTGAACCGTGTTGTCTGGACAGGTTTACTGTGACTTTCCTACTCAGACCCAGGCGTGCATGTGTCGCACTTCCGAACTGTAGAGCGTACGTCCAGTTCGGTCGCTGGACATTTATTGTTTTAACGATGGCCTTGCCAGTGGACCCTCGTTGTCGGCATGCACGCAATGATGAACGTGGAGAATTCTTCCAGGTAAGTTCTGTTTTATTCTCCAGCTCCAAATCTGTAACCACTAAGTATGACACGAGGCCTCTACGTCCACACCATCCACACATGCACACCCATCATGCACCAGACATGCACAGATACCATCTCTTATCACTATAGAACATTTTGATTTAAAGCTTTCGTGACTGCAGGGATTCATATTTTTGGTTCTTTCGGTAAAGTCACGTAGAAGGGAAAAATATGAAACAATCAAATTATCACGACGTTTCGACTGCAACACAAGCAATCATCATCAGGTGTGAAAACCACAGCAAGAAATTTTGAAGAAAGTGGCGGTTATTTTGAACGTGACTCTACCGAAAGACCCAAGAATACTATATAACATATTCATAACCAAATATCAACATGGAACAGTACGAACATGTGTCACATTAACTCTAGCAACAATAACTCGCAATCACGACTGCCCCAGCAGATTCGGTAAACTTTTACATTATTCATTTACCCATCAGATAAACAATATGAATCCAATGCAGCAGCATGACTCATTATAAAGCAAACAATAATAAAGATAAATATTCTGTACTTTGCCCATGAACAAGTACCCCGAAACCATTTTTATCCCCTTTTCCTGCCCTTCACTCTTCTCTGTATTAAGAAGTAATTCATTGACGTATCGTTACAGCCCTAATTCTCCCTTGACCAATTTCTATCACTGGGGTGTCAATTTGAGGCACACGTACATATTTCCACTGCAGTACAACAGCACTGTGCAGGAGCCGTGTTAAGCCAGCCCAGCGCGGCTCTGGAGACACCTGGTTGTTTTTCCACTGTAGAAGCTGAGCCGTGACTTCAGCGTGTCACTGACATCAAACGCAATTAAGCCATTCAGATGTATGAAGGGGAAGCGGGGGCGCTGTGTTTGAGCTGTCCTGACTGACATCACATGCATCATGATTTCAGTTAGTACGGCTATCATATTATTAGTCTGACCCCCTCTTGGATCCAAGCCAGATTAACATTTTCTCGTCCTGTACGTCAACGGGTTTTCTTCTGATTCCGTACGTCATCAAAACAGAACCGGAAGAAAAATCAAATCAAATAACTTTATCAGTACCGAGGCTCCCACAAGGCCATGCGGGAGGGCGTCTGGCATAGTTTGGCACCAGCTATTACAGAGTGCGGTGGTGTCGTCACAGTTCTCTGCGGTGAGTACAATGTCGGTGTGTCACTGACATCATACGCAATTAACCCATTGAGATGTATGTAGGTGACGCAGGGACGCTGTTCTTGAGCTGCACTGACTGACATGAAACGCAACGTGATGTCAGTACAGCTAATGTATTATTAGTCCCACCCCTGGCCAAGCTTGGCTCTGAGCCAGATTAATAAGTCTCGTATTATGGTTTTGTTACGGCACGCGGAATACCAGCTGTACCATGAGTGCCCTGTGCTGGCGCGGTTCAGATGTTCCAGTGGAAAAGGCTTACACTTGTCGTGACGTGTGAAGGGGTACAATTGTGTACTCCCTCCACTCCATGTGGTCTTTACTAGCTTGAAGGATATACAATTCACAACCCTGAAACCATTTTTTGTAAGTAGGATTACATTTAAAACTCTTCCCCTTCCGGGCAAATACGCTATTGTTCTGCCTTAGTTAATTATGTTAATTCTCTATAGGACATAAGGCCGCAATGATTTCCCTCCAGTATCTTCTTTTCCTTGGCAACATGTCAAGCCTCGCCCCAAGAGAGGTCGATCGCTGCCAAAAGCTCGTCCTTCACGGTCTTGCGCCACGTGGTCTAGGGTCTCCCAGGTTTCATTTTGCCCGTTGGTGTCCATCTTAGGGTATTTTTTGGTATACGGTCCTGGCCAATTTTGAGTACATGCCTTTGCAATAGATTAATAATTGATATCATACCAGAGTGAAAGTGCAGCGAACCAAGAAATATAAAGATACTATTATAAAATGTGGCTGGTAATGGCACCATGTGGTGTTGTTTTCGTTTGTCACGAATCCATATTTGAAGTTAGTTATTATTTTTTGAATACTCGTCTCCACAGCCGACGCAGCCTACTGTCTGCTCTCTTATTTTCCGCATCAAACTTAGTGATAAAATTTCTGAACGCCTCCAAATGGAACTCAAAGTCACCTGCTCTCGCTCTTAGTCTCTGTGACGTTTCCGACTTGCTTCCGTTCCTTATACTATCACTTAGATAGATCACAAATGCTGTGCTGATGCCTATGCTGACAGTGCTAAAAACTGCTACAAAGGAAGGAATGGACAATAGCTCCATGCTCTTGGCAGGACGAAGGTTCTTTGTGTTTGAGACAGAACCTAGCTTTTTCGCTTTGCCCCCATCAAGCATGCCATCATCTGAGACGGCCCGTCGTCTTACCGGCACTGTGCTGACCTTAAGCTCGTCTTGAAGCTGATTTTGGGCTTCTCTTAAGGCAACGACCCTCTGATTACGAGGCCGTTTTAAGGCAAGCTGGTCGCAAATTTTGATCAACTCATTGAGACACTGCTTTAGATTATCCATACTGTTTCTCTCTTCTTCAATGGTTCTCTCGACTTTATCAAGACTATTGTTTTCAATAAATTCTTTGGAGAGTATGCTACCTGTAGCTACCGCACCACCCATCAAACCCAATGCCACGCCACCAGCCGTCAGTGCAGACACACCAAGCATTAGCGGGGTGGCTAAAAGACCTCCAACTGCCGCAAGAGCACCAGTGGCCATGGCGCCAACTCCAATCGCCCATGCGCCATCAACATCCCGCTGCGTCTTGTCCAACGCGTCCGCAACTCTTCGGAAATGTGAGATTGTCTCCTCCCTCTTCCTCTTCCACTGTGTGAAGGCCCTGCAGGTCTGCTGATAGGTTTCGTCAAACGCTCTCTTTAATTCACCTGTTGACAGTCACAGAGTGGTCGGATCAACGTGCCATGAGTGAGCATCTCTTAATGTCACGCACGGTGCACACAGGGTCTTGTGGCTGGCACCACGCCTGGCCAATTTGATCTCCCCATTTGCTGATATTTACACACCATACCGGGTACTCTGTTAAGGCTCCATTGACTTAGGAAACGACCAGGATCGGCTGTGATGTCACTGACTCCTGAAGATAGCCAAAATGAACTAATTATGAATCGTAACATTGGTCGTGAAAGCCAACGTGTACAAAATTAACGATGTTTGGCATACTACTCATGACTCGAGAACCAACAGTCATACAAATAAACAGTAATTCACACAAAAAAAACTGCAAACGCATGAATTCCCTTTTTAAAAAAATGGGAGTTTGTTTTTCTGGAGAGGTTTTGAGCTGAGCTATGAGAGTGCGCAATGCACGTTTAATGGTCAGACGAGCTCAGCGACCACCACCTCATGGTGACGGCTACATCTGCCATCTGCGAGTCACAGAGCGATAGACATAGGGGCGGACACCAAAGAGTGCACAACAGTGCATGTTTGGACAAAACAAAGAGAGGGAATGGGAATTGCAGGCCATTCGGAATTCATCCATGTACGTGAGTTAAAGCAGGATATGGCTGCGGGTAGCAAGATGATGCCAAAGAGAGCGCACAATAAGCGTTAACGAACGTTTACTCGTTGTTGTATTCATTATGTAGCTGCGTTGCAGGTTAGCTGAGTTCCGGGCACGGGATGCTCCTGGCAGCAAGTGGTGGTCCCTCCTTCGCTCCGCCTGGAGAACGAGCCACAGCAAACACAGAAAATGCACGAGTGTGTGGGGAGGCAAATAAAAGGGGGTTCTACTGTAACCACAATTACACCAAGTCTACACAAATACTGGCTATTGACAGAACTGAGCCTTACTGTTCGTGTGCTACTGTGTGCTTAAAAAGGTTCAGCTGTCAGTATTGTGTCACCATTTTGAAGGGAGAATAGCGCGCGAGACTAAAAAAATACCACGATTTTGACCGGATGTTGTGGGTATTTCTTAACCGTGTATAAAAAAATACTGTGGCCGCCCACGGTGGCCATGACCTTGGTAGGGGGGGCAAAGCAGTGGTGTGGCGTGGTCAGCATGGACCTCTGCAGCAAATGCCCCCCCCCCCCCCCACCACTGTTTAAATGCCCTCTCTCTTCATCGACCAGCACTTGCGTCCCCTCCTACGTTGGTTGGGCACCGGTGCAAGGTGCACCGCCCGCACACTCTACAACGAAGCCGCTGGAATGATCGGCATTTCAATGATGAGGCGGTTCAGTGTTGTTTTAGCGAACTTGCAGAGAACGGCAGATGTAGTTCCCATTAGCTTCTTTCTTTGGTGTTTTTTTATTATCATTTTTTATCTCACTGTCGATAATAACATTTTTTGGGCTGAATCGGTACACGTATAAGTGTATCTTTCAGACGTCAGAATTCTAGTATCCTGAGTGCTGTCATATGTTTGGCGGTCATTCGGTGTCACGTACGGGGACATTAAATCCACTGCGATAATCTGTGGTGATGCAGAGTAACTTTTTTGTTTATTGGTGACAGATTGGACACCGACGAAGATGGCAGTTTTTCAGTACTGTGCACTATTTACTTAACACCAAAACGAAATACGGCAAAAGCACTACTTTCAACATCGTCGCGCGAAACACAGACGTGTGTGTGTGTCGCTGTGAGCACATCGGGGCGTGTTACGTGTGCGTCAAGAGTCCAAGTTGACGTCCCTACCTGTAGACAACACGCCGACGACCACTTCCTTGTTCTTCGTGTTCGACAGCCACGCGATCACGAACAATGCCTTGGATGTTGCGACGCCGTCACCCGTCAGGTTGTGTTCCACCTCGCTATGGATCGGACGGACAATCGTAGTCACCACCACAAGACAAGCCGACGAAAATGACCAACACCCTCACGAAATACATCCCTTCTGTCGTCCGTGTGAATATTTACATTGCTTTAGGCCAGGGGTCAGCAACCAGATTAACAAGAAGGGCCATTTTTTAATTGAATTTGGTAAAAACCTCTCAATATTTCAATGCAGTGTTGGTGAATACGAGACGATGGGTCCTTAATAAATAACGGTCACGAAGAAGTCCTTAAAGAGCCGCATGCGGCTCAGGAGCCTCAGGCGGCTCAGGAGCCTCAGGTTGCCGACTCCTGCTTCAGGCGATTAACACTGAGGTAAATAACCATGCCCGCTTTAAATAGAATAATAACTTTTACATCTCTGCGCGTAAGCATCAACATTCACTTCTTGTACGGTACAACATTACAACAAAATAGTCACGCGTTTTGTCCTCTTCAAATGAGAGGTCTCAGGCACGGCGATGTCTCCTCCTCTAAAATCCAAACACCAATGAACTTGCATTGATCCCAAGGCGCAGTGAGGGTGTTACATCACCACATCGTTACATGCGGGCACTGAAAAACCATAACGTTTGCTGTTGTCATTAATCCCGACCTCTCGTTCTCTTCCCACTTATCTCAACTCTGCCAGACCTCACATCTCGCTCGATCTCCTGATCTCCCGTATTTTACATTTCCTTTTTCCAGTGACCGCTGAGTCACTCATCCGTGCCTTCATCGCATCCCAACTCGACGAAGTTAAATGGATCCTTTATCACCTCCCCAGTTGCCACAACTCTAAACTCCAGATAATCACAAATGTCACTGCCAGACTTCTCACCTGCATCTCTAAACGTGAATGTATCACCACCCCCAAATAGGTCGATCTCTCCACTGTCTCCCAATACAATCATGTATCATTTTAAAGATCCCACGCACTGTCTCCAAGATCTTCCATGGACTGATTCCTTCCTTCTGTTCACCCCTCACCACTCCCCTCTCAGCTCACTCTGCTCCAGCAATGAAGGCATTCTGTCAAAGCCTCCAGCCAAGCTTCGCTCGGTGGGAGATCGCCTAATTTTCCTCTGCTACCCAAATCGTCTGGAACTGCCTTCCCCCCACCCGCCCGTGCTGTCAGCTTCTTCCCCCTGTTCAATTTGCACGAAGACCTTCATTTTTTCCCCCCTTTAGAAGCGGCATCCCGTTGGATCTGGCTAAAGAGGAGCCAAACGGGCAGGAGAGAGAGGCAGGGCTGAGTTGAGTGGCGGAGCGAGGTGGTAGTTCCAGGACATTGGTTCTGCCGTCCAGCCTCCCTGAGGTGTGGTGGGCTAATTGACGAAACGCCGCTGAAGGAGGGTGCCCACTCGGGAACCCGGTGAAGTCCTCGCTCAGCTCGGTGCCAGTTAGGGGAATTGGTGCCTTGAATGAGGAAGGAGGAGGAAGCGATTGAGGTGCCAACCAGGCCCACAGAAGCCACAGGGAAGTTGAGCACCTTTCAGGTGAGCCGACAGCGATGACTCCCATCGTATTTCGGATATATGTGGCCTCTCTATGCAATAACATACACATGCCCACTGTTTATAGCATTTGAGATGCAAGTCGCATTTGGACGGTATATTAATACAAATTGTACAGTATTGTACGTGCCAGCTAAATACCCGGGGCTGGACATTAACGGCAGTTATGTTCCGAGACGCATGTCACATTATCAGCGTGTCCGCCAGGTGTTCTTACCTCTTTGATCGCATCGCTCCTCCGCAGATGTCAAGAAACGGGTGCCCGTCGCCCTTTATAGACCTGAAGGTGTGGAGGGCGTGTCTGTGTGTGTGAGAGTCTGTGTGTGTGTGTCTGTGAGTGTCTGTGTGTGTGTGAGTGTCTGTGTGTGTGTCTGTGTGTGTCTGTGTGTGTGTGTCTGTGTGTGTATCTGTGTGTGTCTGTGTGTCTGTTTGTGTGTGTCTGTGAGTGTCTGTGTGTGTGTGAGTGTCTGTGTGTGTGTCTGTGAGTGTGTGTGTCTGTGAGTGTCTGTGTGTGTGTGAGTGTCTGTGTGTGTGTGAGTGTCTGTGTGTGAGGGTTTGTGTGTGTGTGTGTGTCTGTGTGTGTCTGTGTGTCTGTGTGTGTGTGTATGTGAGTGTCTGTGTGTGTGAGTGTCTGTGTGTGTCTGTGTGTGTGAGTGTCTGTGTGTGTGAGTGTCTGTGTGTCTGTGTGTGTGTGAGTGTCTTTGTGCCCCGACAGTCTGTTGAGGCTACACGGGGGATCTTTGTCTTTGTTTCGTGGTGCTCGTCTCATGTTTACATCGGAGCCAAGTGTAAATTCCACATTCTCATGGCAACTCCGTCGCTTTTCATGACCATCAGCCATCATCCCTTCTGCAGGAGTCCACTTATTTTACTGAACAGTTTGAATGTTGACCCTGCTGAGGCTGCGCTGCCTCAAACATTGGAAGAAGTCACCCCCTGTGAGTGGCTGGCTGAGGTGTCATCCGTTGAGGAAGTACTGAAGGCGATTCGGAGTCTGAGACCAGGAAAGGCAGCGGGTAGAGATGATCTCCCAAGCGAAATGCTGATGGAGGGTGGCGTTTGTGCACAGACTGCCCTATATGACATCATAATAACAGTCTGGATCACTGGACGGGTTCCGCAGGATTGGAAGGATGTCCTGGTGGTCCTCCTCTTTAAGAAGGGGAGCCGCACAGACTGTAACAACTACAGGGGCATCTCACTGCTCAGTGTGCCTGGAAAGGTCCTGGCAAGAATTATTCAACATCGCCTTGCCAGGCACGCTGAGGAGAGGCTTGCGGAGCCCCAATGCGGTTTCAGGAAAGGGCAGTCCTGCACAGATGGCATATTTTCTGTCCGTCTGCTACAGCAGAGGTGTAGGGAATTCCAGCAAGACCTACATCTCTGCTTTATTGACCTGGTCAAGGCCTATGATACCATCAGTAGACCTGGGCTCTGGGTTGTTCTTCGTGCTTTTGGAGTGCCTGACCCTCTGCTCACGATCATTAAGGACCTTCATGATGGTGAGCGGGCCCGGGTATAACTACGTGGCTGGGAGTCAGAGCCATTCCCTGTACACCTTGGGGTGCGACAGGGATGTCCTCTGGCTCCCACATTATTTAACATCTATTTTGACCACGTAGTTCGCGAAGCCTTCAATAGCTGTATCGGGGGAATCTCCATTTGGTACAGATATAATGGGAGGCTGATCGATGCCCGGGTGCGGTCAAGGGATGGCTCCCTATTGCTCAACCACGTTATGTATGCCGATGATTTGGTAATAGCTGCTCATTCAGAGGAGGAATTGGAGACGCTGCTGCTGAGACTGGAGCGTGCTGCTAAGAGATGTAACCTTGCCATCAGCCCCACCAAAACTAAGCACCTGCCTGGGTATTTTGCACCATCGGACACTCCACCCCCACAACTCTCAATCGGTGATGGGGCAGTTGTGGAGACAGTGGAGAGCTTCCCATACCTGGGCAGTGTGCTTATGACCGGCTCCAGTTTAACCGCAGAGGTCTCACTCCGAATCAGTCGAGCGGCAATATCTTTTCATCAGTTGCGTAACGCTGTGTGGAAGCGACCTGGTCAGTCGCTCCGCACTCAGCTTCAGGTCTTCTCGGCCATGGTCATTCCCTCCCTTCTCTACGCTTGCGAAACGTGCTGTGCTCACAATCCAGGACATTCTCAGATGTCAGTGATGCCACCCTCAGTCAATTACAAAAAATCTTAATCGTGACCACGAATCTTGATAATTGAATCGCTGGCGTGGGATTTGGTTAGCTCGGCTTACGTCGCTCTCATTGGCTACTCGTAAGTACTTTGTAGACGATTCGATCTCATTTTTGTAAACATGTTCTCAAGGACAAAGAGCGCGATAACGAATCGACGTTCTATGGGGTCGCGCTAAGCGAGGTCTGCCTGTATAGTTCTATCCCGCCGTCTTTCAATTCGCACTGATCGTTCGCGCTGACGTAATCGTGACTTGCGACAATGGAATCGGGGGGGGGGGGGGGAGGGGTCTGGTTGGCTCAGAGCGTACGTCGCTCTCATTGGCTGAGCGAATGATGGAGGCGGGTGCGTTTGCTCGGCCAGGACTGCTGCATGTGCTCACTCTTTATACAGTGTGCTTCAAAACAATGTTAACACTTACATAGGAAGAAGCAACTAATTGGCGTTTGGTTAACGTGACGCATTTTTTTTTTACTGATTGGCCGTGTTGGGTAGTGGAGGGTTGCGGAACATTTATACTTACGCGATCAAACCCAAAAACCTTTAATCTAGAACTCATATAGGACTATCGTTTTTTTATGGAAAAAATAACGGATAAAACACTGTAACATGATCTCAAATGTACGTTAAAAGCTTCAAAAAGTCAAAGAGCCTCCCACGTGTTCGCCATCGTTGTCAAGACGTGGCCTGGAATCTTCTCCACGTGGTCTCCAGAGCCCGGAGGCAGCAGCACATGTCACGTGGTGTTGTTGCAAATTCTCAGAAGTGTTAAAACAATTTTGAAGCACCCTGAAAATATGTTTTGGTACAAAAAAATTCCTCCAGGATGAAAAGCTCTCAGGAATCGGTGTTCTACGGGGTCACATGAAGCAGCGCTTGCCTGTATTTTGAGAATTGTTGGTGTTATGGGTTTTATACTGTCATGTGATGAGACTTCTCCATCAGAGCACGTGCAGACGCACGAGGGAGCTGGGGAAGGTTGCGTTATGTTGCCCGGGCCGAGTCCATGACCTGCCATAATCACGTCGTAGGCCTTGCTGGTGTGCCGGCATGTTGCTGAGTCGGTGCGAAGAAACGTCGTTATTCAACGTTACCTGGAGGCTCCCCGTGTGGCTGATGAGTGAGATTCAGTGGTGCATGCTGCCACCCTCGAGTACAAGTCGGCTTTTTTTATGGCGTCCTCGAGTGACAGAGACGCGGAGCAGAAACGAGAAGGAAACGGATCGGTTCTACCGACCTCTGACGAGTTGATTCGATGATAACCATCTCTGTGTTCTTGGCGAGGATCATGGCCAGAAGAACGAGAAAGTGGGCACGGGTTACACGTAGCCACCGCTGCCAAAGCGGCAGCATCGCCAAATAACATGGAGCATACATTGATTCAATATCAATAGCTATAAAGCTCTTTTTTCACAGATGTCCAATAGGGGCGGGTAATAACGTTATAACAACAAACAATACAAAAACACGATATTCGTGCAAAGTACAAGAAAGACAAACATATTACTTAACACATACAAATAAAACTCAACCACTCCCATCCTACCGGCAAAGCCCACTGATCTATGAACTTATTTTTCAGAAGCGACCTGGCCACAAATGATTGCTCAACAGAATGGCCCATCATTTTTACATTTATAGCACCAAAATAATCTCAAATAAATTTACAAAGAACTGAGTCAAGACATCCAGCACAGCGCGCACAAACATCGCACTGCAATCAACAACACGTACAAGTTGTGCACACCACTGGTTCATGTAGAATGTTCTCTAGCTGCGGGAGTTGCAAAAGCTGTCCATTATTTGATCCTATGATGTTCACAATGTGTTCCAGTGCAACTGGGTGACGCTCATTGTGGAATCGCGCTTCTCCACAATACCGTGATCCATGTTCAAAGTGTTTGACTTGCTTGTGGCTTAATATATTTGATATTTCAGTGTTGTGCAGTTGCTATGATTGTCAAATTGTTGCCCATCAATCATAAAACAATGTAACAACAAAAAAACTACACCTGCAATTTGGGAACGTGTGACATTAACAGTTTATTTTTCATTCAACCATTTGGGGAGTGGTGTGCAGATGAGGGTGGTCCAGTACGTGTTTGGATATATCACACGTCACTCATGGTGTGTGATGTTTCTGCCGGGTTCATAGCGTACTGCGATAACCACTTTGCCACCATGCCAACAAAAGTGCTATATATTTCATATTACCGTGGTTAGAATGACAAATATGACAGCGATGTAAAGATTATACCTATTAGTGTGGAGCCATATGCTGAGCCCTGCACGTTATTTGCCGATGTGGGTGGGGCAGGCGCGGTAGCATATCAACATAAGCGCACATCCATAGTTGCTATCGCAGCCACACGAATGTAAATGGGTACACGATATGGCAGGGAACAAAGGTAACTTCGGACTAAGGGTCCCTGTGTTGGCGATGGAGAGACAATCAGAATGTGGGAGACGTGTTGTTTATGGGTCACTCTTTCTCTCTGTTAATGCTCGGACCGCCACCGACAACATCTCGGACAAAGGTTTTTAGGCCAAGCCACTCCAAGTTAGTTGGTCTGACTGTTTTCCTAATGTACAAAGATCAATGTTGATGGAATACGTGGTGGTCCCCAGCAGAAATATGGAAATGTCTGCGCCCAAGCGCGTGGGAAGGACCGCTTCTCGCTGGGAGTAAATTCAAAGTTGTTTGATTTGATCTTGACTTAAAGCTTTCGTGTCTGCAGGAATTCATATTCTTGAGTCTTTCGGTAAAGTAACGTAGATAGTTCAAAGAAATTAACAAAAAAATAACAAAAAACTACGACATTTCGATCGCAACACACGCGTTCGTCATCAGGAAGAAAAAAGAGGGGGACAGCTGCTGAGGCAGACTGTTTTAAAGGTTTAAAATGGGTGTAGCCCAAGGGTAATAAACGAAGTGGGCGGGGCTAGTGATGTTAATGTGAGAAATTAACATGTAAATGTAAGATCGGAAGGCGAGCTTCACGATGAGGGTACGGAAGTGGCTATGTTAATGTGAGAGATTAGCATGTTAATGTAAGATCGGAGAGCGGCCTCCACGTGTGTGTGGAGGTGGCTATGTTACTGTGAGAGATTAGCATGTTAATGTAAGATCAGAGAGTGGCCTCCACGTGTGTGTGGAGGTGGCTATGTTAATGTGAGAGATTAGCATGTTAATGTAAGATCAGAGAGCAGCCTCCACGTGTGTGTGGAGGTGGCTATGTTAATGTGAGAGATTAGCATGTTTATGTAAGACTGCAGAGCAGAAACGTTGAGCTCGGCAAGCGAAGTGGCTGTTTTAGTGTGGGAAATTTAACCTGTTAATGTAAAATCAGAGAGCCGAAAATAACAACTAACATCGGAAAGCGGTCGGATGGGAACATCACAGCCAGTTATGACTTAAACTGGTTGATAACGTCCTTCCAATGATTGCTCGGTTTATACCCAGTTTATACATCCAGTTTATACATTAACATCACTAGCCCCGCCCACTTCGTTTATGACCCTTGGGCTACACCCATTTTAAACCTTTAAAACAGTCTGCCTCAGCAGCTGTCCCCGTCTTTTTGCTTCCTGATGATGAATGCTTGTGCTGCGATCGAACCATTGTAGTTTTTTGTTATTTTTAGTTATTTTTGTTGAACTATCTACGTGACTTTACCGAAAGACCCACGAATATTGATTGATACACCCTGGCGAATCCCATACAACCGCTCCCCTATCGGTAGTGAATCAGGGAATGCTGGAGAGGCACAGAGCATGAGCGGCACCGTCTGGAGGAGGGAGTGCTGGAGAGTGGTCGTTTGTGGACGAATGGGGAGGCATAGAGGTCCGCCGGAACGCTTACCTTCTGGGTTTTAGTGCCACCGTGCCGCGCCAAACCCGACATGAGAGATAAAATGTTACACGGTCTGTGTCGCCGTGGTCTTCATATTGTTGGTAGTGCGTTGTGGGTGTGCAAGTGACTGTTATTGTTAGGCAGGTAGCTAACTCTATGAGGGCTCAGCCCGAACGGGAGGCCCTCAGTTTAGAAATCCCTCCTTGCCGCCAGCGAGGCGTGCACAGGGTCTTCACCCTGAGGAGCGGTCTCCCTGAGCCGTGGGAAGGCCGCTTAACCTCGGGTGGAAGGGGTATTGGGGGGTGTGTACGCGGGGTGAGGACCCAACTTTAGGCGTTGTGCATGGTGCACGCAGTAGGGCCACCGCCGAGCCATTTGTATCGTGCACAGAACGGTTCCCCCCGCTTATCAGGCTATACCAGGCATGGCCCAATATAACTGCACCCCATGCCGCCAGAGCTCGCAAAAAGGTGGGAAAAGTGTAGATTCACCGTGGGCGCGAAGAGCCAACCTTAGGTTATGTTCACACCACCCCTGTGGAGAGATACACATATCGATACTCACCCATGGGTAAGGGTACATATCAGTACATACACGCACGGATACACCCACCTAAAGCGATGGTGGCATGGGCACTTTCTACTCAACAAAGCGGAGTGAACTATTAACTCCAGTGTGAGGTTGCGAGGTGCGGATTGGTTTCCTAGCTGAGGTGTGGGCCCCTGAGTGTGTGACATACGCCGGTGCACTCGGAGGGGGAGAAGTACCCCGCTTCGGGGCGAGCATGGCTCGGGGCTGCTCCTCCAGCCCCAGGCCCACGCTTCGCTCCGGGACTCGGACGTGGAAGTCGGCCAAAACCGTCTGGTGCCAATAGGCAATTTGAGGAAGGCTCGACGTGCCTCCCGTGTGCGGGGGGGGGGGGGGCAAGCCACTGCCAGTCAGCCCCCGGCCACCAAGCCTAGCAGCCCGTGCCCACTCAGGGGAAGGGCTGTCCTTCCAGGTAGGAGAGGACACCGAGGGAGAGAGCGAGACTGGCCGGGGTGGCCGTCTCGTCGGGCCCGCGGCCTGGCCAGGCGTCATGGCAGAGAGTCGATCGACGATGGCGCACGAGGGTCTGCCCGTGGCGGGGGCTGCTCCGGGCCGGCTCTCGCCGCGCCGGAAAGGCCTCAGGTGGCGTCGCCTCCCTCAATTCCCCCCCACCCTGCTCGCGCAAACCTCATGTCGCGTCACATTCTTTTTTTAATGTATTGCATTACATTATTAAATTTAGACATGGAAGTTTGCTGAATTGAAAGTTTCTGTTCACGTTAAATGAGTGCACTTAACAATGGAGCAGACTTCAGTGCATTGTTTTACGTGCTGCAGAAGATTTTTCGAATCCAGTCATAAGTGTCCTCTCGCTCGCAAGCAAAAGCCACATCGAGGTGATGATCTTCCGACATCAATCTTGCTGTGCCGGTCACGTCATCCGGATGTCCGACTTGAGACTCGCAAAGCAAGTTTTATTCTCTCAGCTCAGTCAAGGAGTATGTTCGAGGGAGAAAAAAAATGCTTCAAGGAGGTCCCCAAGGCCAACATGAACAAGTGCAACTCTTGGGAGACTATTGCCCAGAATCGTTCCAGGTGGAGGACGTATTCTGCTGCAACGATATCAGCACTTCAAAAGCCTACAATGAAGACAGGAGAAACGAAAAATATCAAACTAAACTCTTTGTATTTTACCAGATAAGGCCCACTGAGCTATACAGCTCTTTCTCAGAAGCGACCTGGCCACAAATGATAGCTCAACGAAGTAGCTTATCACGTGGAAATTTATAGCACCCAAATACTCCAAACGGTGTTTAAAAATGCAGATGTCAGGGTCGGGATCGAACCTACGATGTTCTGTATACCAGGTGAAGTAGTTAAAATCTCTCCACTATGGGTGTGGCAGAAACAGCCGTGTGGTCGCAGATTGAATCAACAACCCAGAGCTACCTATCCCGCTAGGAAACACTTCCCAAGCTGCGACAGAGTCTGTCAATCTCGGATCAGTCTCATCCGCTGTCTTCGGACCCACAAAAGCATTGAAGACAATTATCTTCGACTGCGAGTGATTGCCAATGAAAGGATGGCCAGGGGGACGGCGACACGTCTTAGCGTGAGTGCGTTCACCACTTAGTGGAGAGATTCACCGTTCTCATCCAAAGGCCACCCCGATTGTCACCGCGGGCAAAATAACCATGGCAATACTACACGCCGCCTGTTGCACAGCCGACGTTAAAGATGTCCCCGATCTCATTCGCAAGAGTAAGACCGTTGCGTGGCAGTGTCAGGGCCCAAATTGATAAAAGTCGAAAATAATTCAGAAATTATTCAATATGGGATTACACATACCAACATCACCCCCCACTGGCAGCCTAATGCCCCAGGTCACTTGCACACGAGACTCATCCTGGTCACTTGAGTTCTCACCTGGTAAAAAAAATGAAACTTGAAATTTAATTACGTAAATATGTAATTCATCCTTTATTTAAAATCGATCGAGATCCTGTTGAGACCAAAAGTCTCTTTTTCATCAGAAACCTGAGTAACAAAACAGAGGAGGCATTAATCTGATATTATCTCATGTCATGAATCTGATATTCATGTTGAACGTTAAAAGACAACTATGAAACATTATTCGCAATAAATTAACAATGATCAATGCATACACCATAAACATTCATGCAATATAAACTTAAACATATAACATCATGAATAATAGATTTGTTTATCTATGTGTAGAGGAGTAGAATGGGGAAGTGGCGTCACGTGTGCTGTCCAGTGCGATGACGTCACGTGACGTCATAAGCTCGGGGCAGCAGAATGACGTCACGGCTCCTCAAGTATAGAGGGGACCCCGTGACGTCAGCGGGGTCGTAGCTGGAGAGTAAGGTCTGAGAAGGGTAGAACGGGGAGCCAGGGGGAAGAGGGTAGGGATATGGGAGAGCACAGTGCCAGGGCTAGACGTGGCTGTGCTCCTCGGTCGGCCGTGTTGGCTGATCCCACGGCCGGCGCAGAGGAGACAGCACAGGGCAACCGACTGTGTCGGGACCTAGCCCGGGACCCCTAACCCCTGGGAAGTTGTTCACCCCCTGTGTGTGTTGTTAAGATTTGTAATAAACCTTTGGTGGAAGCCCTTAACTTATCTCAGCCTCCGAGTGGGTCGTCGGGAACTTCTCAACATATGGAACAAGCAACAGTTTGACAGCAATTATATGCAAGTTGCCACACGACAAATCTACGTTTACATAAAACATGGACTGGGAAGGAATAGTTTAAAACAAATAGGCTTTCGCGACCAATATCGATGATACAGGTTTTTTGGGTTAGATCGCGCCAATACAGATGTGTCGTTAAACCCGCCGCCACCCGACACAGCCAATTAGTAAGGTTTGTCACGTAAACAAAACATGTCAAGTTGTTACTAGTACAGCACACCGGGAAGGAAGTTTTGAGATGTTGCCGAGTTGAGGCTCTAAGACCAAAAATGTCTAGCAACCAGTGCCCAGCAACAAATGGCACGATTGAAGGTGTTTGTTATTATATTCCTGCTTATGGCAATGTTAAGAAGCTAAATGCCAATGCCGATGTCTGATAGGCACAAGGGGGGCTTCAGGAGAGAGTTTCTGTAGTTTTGCTGTTCCTCGGCTGAAGGAGCACAGACCACAGTGGTTTGCATGACCACAAGTTACACTGCTCTGCCTACTGGACCTGTCTGCTGTGTTTGAGCATCTTAGTCGATCACCTTCAGAGCATTTATGGCATTCATGGTACCGTACAGGTCACCGGTGACATGCCGTGTGCCACTTGGCCCGGTGCTGTGCTTCCTCCACACTGGCGTCCTCGTCGGCATGGCCCGTCATCATAACGGCGTGCGTTAATATTTTTTATATGCCGATGATATACAGCTCGACTTTCACTCAAATGCCAATTTGTGCGTCTCTCGCATCCCATGCCTGATATCGTGCGTTGCCGACATAAACAGCTGAAGTTGATTTGGAACAAATCTGAATTCATCACACGCAGGAGCTGCCATCAGCTCGCATGACAAAATTGTGAGTCCATCCGCATAAACGGCTGGGACATTCCAGTGTCAGATAAGGCAACGTGTCTCGGCATTCTTGCCGAGACACGTTGCCAACCAGACGGTACGTCATGTGCTGACCGTCGAGACAGCCAGGGATGCTCGTCCATGCGTTTGCCTTCAGCCCTGTGGACGACTGTAACAGCATCTTTGGCTGTGCCAGCGCTGTGCAACTGAGTCCGCTCCAGTCGGTGCTAAACGCTGAAGCCCGTCTGATAGTTTGGAAGCGGAAATTTGACCCGACCACGATGTCGATACGAGACGATCTCCACCGCTTACCTACTAAACATAGCATTGCTTACAAACTGTGCCTTCTCATCTAGAGGGGTCTGAACAAATCCACTCCGTCCTATCTTGCCGATCAGTGTGTACCAGTCTCAACAGACCCAAATCGACGTCATCCACGATCCCCAAGCCCACGATGATCTGCTGTACCCGCGTGTGAACCTTGTGTGGCGATACGGCAAGCAGTGCCGTTTCGGGGTCTCCGGCCCAAAGACTTGGAACGAGTTACCAGCTCAAATTCGGGATCCATCCCTGAACCTGAGCCAGTTTTGCAAGAGACTCCCAAGAGAGTGTTATTGCAAACAGCTTACTACGTGTGATGAGTGCGAATTTGTGATTGGCTGGACTCACAGGAGCGCGCGATAAGAAACGCTCAGGCTTACAATCGCACGAGAATGTCTCGTCTTCAATTTGCCATACATGAAGGAGACATTCACATCGACCTGTTGATGTTCTGATGATGCGGTTGATAGTTACACCAGCGTCTTTGAGAAGGAATGTCAAAGCCAGGAGGTGCGATGTTTGGGTCTTGAATGAGGCGTTTATTCTGGACATGAGTGCTGTTCCACTCTGTTGGCCAGTATTGGAGGAGAGTTACTATATTGTTGAATTGAGAAAGGTTGCACGAATTTGGGGAAATACAACCGTGGGAGATCATGGCAAAGAGCAGTGCGAGGGAAAAAGCAGAGAGAAAAGCGTTGTGACCTGCAGTGTGGTGGATGAGTTAATACAGTCTGGTAGTCCTCATCACGTGTAGACGATTCAACAAGTGAAGTTCACCGGAGCGTCAACCATGATCGTCGACGCTCCAGTGGGGCGAAGTGGAGGCTCCGAGCCCCCCACCCCACCCCGCACTGTGTCGACAGCGATGCCCCGTGGCTTCAGCTACTGGCTTAAGGCTGCCTCATGCCGGTCGAGCCATGCTCCTTCAAGCGGTGGGTGCGTGGGCCTCACGTCAATCACCTCCACGCCCACGCCCGCCACCACGAACTCCAGCTCCCCCTCCCGCCGACCCCTCCGCCAATCGAACGCAGCCAAGTCGGCTACGTGACTCAGGCAGCTCACGAGCGGCTCGGCCGTTCCAGCTCCGGTCGCCACGGCGACCAGTCGCCACAGAGACAGGCGCTGGTCGGCGGACACGGCGGCGACGGTTGCCTCGGCGATGGCGTCCTGACGAGGTGGTGTTGGCACGGAGATGGGGAGCACGGCGACGGCCGTGACCTGCGCAGCGTGGGCGTGGTCAACGCTCACCGACGCGAGCGAGCACAGGACCGGTGGGGCCCGGCCGCCGGGCGTATCCACAGAGATGGTCACCATGGAGATAGCGCCATCGTCACCGCCGCTGACAACGAGGAGGCGGTGGTGATGTCGCCCGTCCCCATGATCGTTGTCCACCAGTTGGACCCGCACGCAGCTCACCCCCGACTGGTGGACGCGAAACGCTCCGCACGGCGTGCCCAGGTCTGGAGAGGAGAATAATGTCTTCTCATTCTCAACTTTACAAATGATAACAAGACAGTGATTTCCTGGTACAACGAGCATTGTAGGCAATGCTCATCACCTGTTTACAGCCCTGAACCAGTGGTGGAAATTCTTCATTCCTATGATTGTGGAAGTGTTAACCATAGACATCTACTGTTGACTTCCCAACAAAGTGGTACCCCCAACCAGGATTTTAACTTGGAACCTTCCGATTGCAAGCCGTTCACTCAAACACAGAGCCACCTGGCCGAATTACAAATCTGCATAACGGAGCACACGTGCGGTCAGTTACATGAGGTGTAAAATTCAAGGATTCGTGAAAACATTCGGCCATCTATTTAGAACTTTTAATTATTGTTTTTTTAAATAATTGATCCAATATTTCGGCAGAAAAGAAAAACAATCGCCATGTTGCGGCAGGCCGTCTCTAGCCGGCGTGCCGTCTCTAGCCGGCGTGCCGGTGCGCGCTCGCTCACCAGCCGGCTGGCTCGTCCCTCCCGGCTCGGCGCTCGCGCTGGGCTGCCCGCCCACGAAGCGGCCGACGTCCCAGAATGCAACAGTGCCATCGGTGGCACCGCTCGCAAGTAGAACGCACCTGAGGAGGCCGCGCGGTCAGACACAAACAGCAGGCGAGGAGTTGCTCTCCCAGCCACCGCCCAGGCCAGCAGCCGGTCCAGGATTTTGTTCCAGCCGCTCCAACGAAGCCCGCTACCGAGGTGCGGCCTCCATTTGATTTATTTATTCATTCATTGTTCCCAATTCTATTCCAGCTGTGCTGGCAGCGGCATGTCAAGGGACAAAGAGAGTCCATTTGGAATTCTTGCACAGCAGCGCATCGCTCCGTGGTATAGAATGGTCTGGCAGAAGCAGATAACACAGCAGTACTTTTGAGATACCTATACAAGTTACCTTTTTATACACTTATGAGTTTATTTAGAAATACATGCTTGATATAAATTAAGCATTTGTCTGTTGCTCAGTGTCCACTAATAGGCAACTTCATATGCCAATTTTAAGCCTGCTCATCAGAAAACAGTTTTTGAATTGTATTTTCATCAGGCCCCATGGTATTTAGTAAAGTCTCCAACTATTATACATTCTCCCGGGTCTCTATAAGTATGTGCTATGAAAGACCATTGCCTGAAACGTTGCCTATTATTGTGGGCGCCATGGTGGCGAGATTTTAACTACCTCGCCTGGTGTACAGGAGGTCATGGGTTCGATCCAGACCCTGACACCTGTATATTTAGTAGTATTTTGGCGCCTATAAAATTTCCACATGATAAGCCACTTCATTGGGCTATCATTTGTAGCCGGTTCACTTCTAAAAAATAAGTATATAGCTCAGTGGGCCTTACCTGTGAAATAAAACATATTTTATAGTTTGATAGTTGCCTTTTAGCTCACCCTGCAATATGGCTTACTCAAGTTTGGCTTCGAGAGCTTTGACTGTATTATTATTGTTAAAATAAGGCAGCATCACGATTGACATGAAGCCAGGATCCCTTCCCCATCCTCCACCCCGCACCTCCGGCCGCCAAGGTTGGATCCCAGGTCCACGGAGTCGACGCAGAGTACGCAGCGCTGAAGGGTGTCCGATTCGGCCAGCAGCTCCAGACTCCTCGCTCGCTCCTCAAACGCAAAGAGCCTGCGTCCCGGAGAAGAGACAGTGGCACGCGGATCACGTAGTGTGCAGAGCGAAGACGACAATGACGATGATGACGACGATGATCGAAGTGACGGTGCAAGGCGGGTGGCTATGTCTCCGTGATCCGGTATCAGGGAATATAGGTTTCCGCAAAACTGGATTTTAATAATAATAGTCAACTCGTATCGCTCTGCTTACGATCGCGTAGAGAGGTGATGACTCAGAGACGCAAGAAGGAAGCACAGACAAGCGGGAAGGCAGCAGCAGCCACACAGTGAGCCGATACCAATACTTTCCTAAGCTCAGCGGTCCTCTCTAGGTGATGATATCTCACCCAATGAATGAGTGTTCATTGAATGTGATGTGCTGCTGGTTAATATTGTAAGCAGCACAGTATAAGTAACGTTCGTATTTTTTGGTATTTTCTCTCCGACGTGTTTTCCTGGGCGAATAAAGATATATTTGTTTACACCGGCACCAATAAGATCTTGGGTTTGAATTCTGCTTTCAGCCTTCCATGAGTAAACTGGGTTCTCAAGTATAGCGAGTTGATAGTCTCAACCCCATAACCAATGACTGTACAACCAAAACTATCTCTTTAAATTTGGGTTTTCAATTAAATTGGCCAGTTCAGCTTTGTCAACAACATCTTTGCAGCAGGGCATTGTGGAAAAATATAGTTTCCCTTGTATATGCGATGAAGGGCTCTTGTCAGAAGCATTGTCTATTATATATGTGGTATGACCACAATGTTATTGATGAACGTGTTTACGTTTTTTTGTGGTATGCGGATTAAGTGGTCACTCAAAAAGGCATCTCAGAATTAATTTTAGGCTACCTGGCTTCTACGCACCATTCTCTGAAGCGCAGGTGTCTCACCGCTCTGCGGGCATTCCGAGCGGACACCTCTTGTTCTCATGACACAAAGCCGAGAGCACAGCCAGAATAAAAGACACCAGCATGGCTGTTCTGATAACATCACGGCACCTACTTGAGTAGCCGGATCAGGAAGGCACACGCACTCTCGAGATCCCAGCTCTCGCCCACTCCTCATGATGCTGGCGTGAGAATAATATTAATCTCCAGAGAAAGGTCGTACAACGCACTCACATTTTGCTCACTTTGCAACGTCACTGGTTTTGCAGCGCAATTATCCACGGGACAACTCGATTAGCTTGGCTGTGTCAGGTGGTGGAGGGTTAGCGCTACAATATGCACGATGATCAAACCAAAAACACAAATCATATCGGTGGCGAAAGCCCAGGTATGAAATTAATATATGAACGAAATCGACATTGGCGAGCGGGCGAGCGAGCAGCCTCACCTGACGTATGCGTCACTGCAGGCGGCAGCCACCAGGTGAACCCCGCGCGTTCCAACGCTGGGCCCTACCACACACACGCACATGTACCTGCGCCGTGGCGGCAGTGCGGGGGGAGAGAGGTGAAGGAACCGGCACTCCATGTCAGGTTTTGCATCGTCGAGTAAATTTACCATCGCAACATTTGGACGTGGGATCACTGCCGCGATGTGGCGATGAGCATGCTGGGCCTCAAATCCAGAGGTCGCCGATTCAATGTCCCGGCACTGCAGCAGGAAATATAGCAGAGGTCATTGCCGGAAGTGTCGTCTAATATATGCGTATTCCTGTTTAGGGCAGCGTTATTGACGAATGTGTCGAGTTCTCCGATTTGCGTTTGACCAGAAAAAGTGCGATGCTGCATTTTTATCTCGGCATCAAAAGCAGCGGCGGTACCAGCAGCAGCACCGGCAGCAGCATCAGCGGCAGGAGCTGCGCTCATGCTCACCGAGTCTCGGGGTCGGCCTTGACGAACCGGTGCCGGTCTCTCCGCCGCTCCCACTGCGCGTCGAGCCGGTGCGCGGCAAGGCTCTCCACGTGGCACGCCGTGCCGCCCGGCGCCACCGTGATGCGGCAGCAGCGCAGCTCGGCTCGGCCGCCCGCCGAGAACAGCAGCCGCGAAAACCCGCGGCACCGCTGCACCGCCGCGTCCGGTTTCGGCTGCGCCAACAGTGGGGTCCTCGGCCCGCCCGTCACGCCTGCTGCCGCTGCCACCGGCGGCATAGTTACTGAGCGGCCGTCGGAGGAGGTGCCCAGCAAAGCGGCGCAGTCGGCGATCGCTAGCACCTTGACGCTCGACACGTGTTCCCGAAGGGTGAGGAGGGTCACGAGGTCGGGGTCGCAAGGGTCGCGAGGGTCGCGAGGATCGCGGAGATCGTGGGGAACAGGGAGACGAGAGACACGCACGGTTGTGTCCTCGCTGGCCGTGACGATGAGCCCGTCGCCAAGATAACGCACACACGTCACCTCTCGCCCATGCAGGCCCTCGCGTAGCACTGGCTGGAAGTGGTCGCGCGACCTCCGGCCACTACGACATAAACACACCCGGCCAGCTGTCGACAGGAAGGAATGCACACAGATTATGCTTTGCTTAACGCGTTGCGAAGATTTCAATGAAGGCAAATTCACTTGCTTCTTCATTCAAGAGCTCGCGAAATAAGCATATAATCAACCCTCTCTGCGATACCATCAATAGCCCTGTCACGATTTCTATTCAATAACGTTTTTGTTTCTACTTTCATGTACTGTTTGTACAGTCTTGTTCTCTCCATTCGTCTAAACGAGTTATTCGCGTATAATTTTCATGAATCGTAATTAACCTATTCTCCCGCACGAGCAAAGTCGGACACGTATCGTGAGCATAACAATACATTTTGATCGTCAAAGCCACGGTCCGTTACCCGCCAACCATGACTCGAGACGGACCTTTGATGTAGGCGAGGGCCCTGGGGCCGAGCTGGGGGCCGCGCGAGTCCTGCTGGTAGGCCCAAGAGCGGTGGCCACCCCCGCACGGCACACTGGCCAGCAGACGACCCGTGCGCTCGCAGATCGCAACGAAGTTCCTCGACCGAAACCCTAGCACCACGACCCGCGGCTCCCGGGCGTCAGAGTCGACGTTCACGTCTGCCGTGGACGGCGCGGCGTCGTCGATCAGCAGCAGGCGTTCGAGCCAGTCGGCTCGCTGGGCCGGGCGATGCGCGGACAACGCAACGAGGCGGAGGCCACGACCGGGCCTCGCTGCTACGGCCGTGGTGCGGTAAACGCCGTCGCGACCCGTCGAGTAGACCACCGTGGTGTCGCCGCCACCCTCGTCACCACCGTCCATACGCGCGCGCACGACCAAGGACGTCACGCCATGCCGGCCGTGCAGACCGAACAGCGACGATGCGGGGCCTGGGATGCCGTCGTCGCTGCCGGCACTTTTATCCTCTTCGCTGCTGCAGCCGTCGCTGCCGTCGCTCCTGCCGATGCCTCCGTCAGTGTTGCACTCTTCGCTGGCACGCGCGGGGCGGGCGCTACCGGGTTCGGCAGCAGAAGGTGGCGGTGCAGCACCTGTGTTATCACCCTCGTCACCATCGTCATCGCGACTGCAGCCCTCACCAGCAGTGCCACCTACTGACTTCCCGACGTTACGGGAAGACACAAACAGCAGCAGGGAGCCGCGGCGGTCGCCGCAGACGACACTGGCCCGCGCCGAACCCGGCACAAAAGAGGCGCACGTGTGCCAGCGTTGGCGGCACATCGGCAGCCGGAAGCGGGCCTTCTCCCGCACGGTGAGCCCCGGTGCGTTCGCACTGCCATCGCCTGCCGGGATCGCGACCTCCCACCAGATGAGGAGGCCATCTGGTCCGGACGAGAACAGGGACCGCGGCCTCTGACCCGTCGCAAAAGCCACCGCTACCGCCCCTCCACCGTCCGTCTGTGCGTCGGCCCAGGTCAGGTTGTGAACTTTGCCCTCGTACGGCTGGCTTTCCCAAGACGTGCCCGGACGGACGAGGGGAAACACCCGGACCTTCCCGTCTAGGTTGCCGAGGGCGATCATTGTTTCCTCGGCAGCGGTCCCCTGGGTGACGGCCATGAGGGAGTAGGAGTGGAACTCTGGGTGGGAGAGCATGGTGCGGGTTGTGCCACCCTCCAGGTCACGCCACAGGACCTCTCCTGCGTCCGTCATCACGATGAGGTCCCGCAGCGTCGGCAGGGCCAGGATCTTGGGGGTTCCCGCTGCGTGCAGACCAAGCTCCTCAGTAGCCATTTTGCTTTCGTCTCCCCCCGTGGCACTGCCCTTCAAGTTCAGCTGGAGGTGAAGGGGGCATGGGTGTCACAGCGATTATTTCACTTTTTAATTTAGTCAGTGTCTCGCTGTGGATTTAATTTCGTCATGCTCATAGTCTCGTCGACTAAACCATCAAACTTGCGGTCCACTATTACTCAAATGTTGGTGTGAGGGGTGTGATATTCGTGACGCCATGATATTATTTGGTCAGCCAATTGATGAACTAGTTTCACATACATACAAATATAGCCAAATACCATTCTTGGTTTTCCTTAGTGCACTATCTTCCACAGTGTACTCACAATCGAAAATCGATCAACAGGACCAACTAGGACCACCCCGAACCCCCGCCAACCCCCAGCCCACCTGCCAGAGCCGCACGGCGGAATCGGCGCCGCCCGTTGCCACAACGCCGGTGTCGGCGTGCACGGCGAGGGCTCGCACGCCGCGGCCGCCCGGGTGGCCCCGCGCCGAGCCCAGCACACGCCCGTCCGCCAGGTCCCACATCAGCACGGCGCCGTCCTCGCCGGCACTCGCCGCCACGCGGCCTCCAGTCCCGGGGAGCACTCGCACCACGAACACGCGCGCCTGGTGCCCGAACAGCACCCGCTCGGCCGGCATGTCTGGTGGAAGTCGTTGGCCCGCGCCGCCGCTTGCGCCACTGCCGGGGCTTGTGCCGCCACGGTGACCCGTACCTTCATCACTCCGCTCAGAGCAGCCGTCGCCGTCGTCGTCGCCCGGCGCGGCTCCGACACGGACCGACCTTGTGGTGGAATTATCCGTTTGCTCGGGAGGGTGGGCAGCGTCGAACGTGGGGTCAGGCGGGTCGACCGTGGAGCCGCCGAGGCGCCACACCCGCACGCTGCGGTCATCGGACGCCGACGCGAGAACGCCCGACCGCTCGTCGTAGTCGATCGAGAAGATGACGCCCGAGTGGCCGGCCAGCCGGCGGAGCACCGGCGCATGGCCATCCGGCCCGGCCTGCGGAGGAAGAGCAAGCGATGCAGGACTAGCGGCGGTTATGGCCGTACTTTGGTGGCTCCGGTAAATAAAAAAGTCCGAAATGCAATCGCATCTCAAAATGCCGTAAAAATTTTAAAACAAAACCACATTAGGGTGGAAGGGGACTGAGGGGGTGCAGGGGTGGGTTATCAGGCCAGGAAACACGGGAGAGAGGAGCGACAGTGCCACCACGGCACGATTCGGGACGAAGCGACTGCGGCTCAACGCTGCGGTGGTTTTGCGTACCTGCGCCGGTTTCCACAGCACCACGTGGTTTCCCACGGTCCCCGCCAGGCAGCAGAGCGAGTCCCACGTGGAGCCGACGAGGCGAGCCGAGTAGAGCACCTGCGTGTCGGCGCACCGTGCCTCGCACCTCACCACGCCACGCCGCCACTCCCACAGCCGCACAGCATTGTGGGCCAGTGCGACTGCCAGCAGATCTGCCAGGCAGGGGCGAGAGGGGAGCAGTGGGAATGGGGCTCCGTGGTGATCAGGTGACGTGCGCAATGTAGGGCGGTGATGTGGAGAGGTTTGCGGTTCGATCCCTTACGGCCACCCTGGTTAATGCTGCCGGTGTATTGCAAAAATACTCGATTTATGCTTCACACTGCAAGTAAAAAATGCGCTATTATGTTGTATGAAAGAGGCCATGTGTGTTGGTGACACAGGCTAAGCCAAATTTGAAAAGAATACTCGCGAATTACATAATTGAATATATTCACTTTATCACCAGACCTAGGCAGCATATACTCCTCTGTGAAACACAGGGCCTTCGTGATTGGAATTGCACTAGCATAGTGCAAGTAACATGTCTGGGTCGTTGGCCTGGGTTGTCACGCGGGAGGCAAGGCTTAATCTCATCCGGGTCTGTCCGGAAAATATTTCCGCACACGGCACACCACATCCAACAAACCACCCTTCACTATGGCAGTGGCAACTAGTAGTCGCGAGCACAAATCAGATTTGAAACACGGCAGAACGAATTCTTCTGCCGTGGCTGATCATTGGTACAACGCTGTGGGTGATCATGATATTGTTTTCTCCGATACCAAGGTGCTCTGCAAACCTACCAGTTATTATCAGAGATTTGTCCACGAGGCCATCCAGATTTACAATAACAGACACAACTTCAACCGAGAGGATGGTTTCAAATTGAGCAATCACTGGACAGATGTTATAAATCAAGTCAAACGTTAGCTGCCTCTCAAATTTTTTGTACAGCCATTTCCTTTTCTCAGTGGTTGTATATCAAACTTCAGCTACCTTATAATTGAACAGCCGTTTGCACCCGCTTTCAAAATCCCCCCGACCCCCCACGCAGCATCAGCCGTTTTGCACCCGGTTTCAAAATTTTTGCGACCCCACACGCAGCATAACAAAAGGTGGGTTTTTTACCCACTCCCGTGCAGTGCGAAGTGGTTGTTACCCGCAGGAGCCTATCAAAAGGCTGCTTAACCCAGCCCTCCCACCCACCCACGCCCCCTTACTGACTCCTCCCCCCTCCCTTAACCTGTATATAATCCCGGTTGTCTCTGAACTGTGCTCCTGACACAGATATTCTGCGTTGACTTTTCCACCTGAAGACGGAAGCTTGTGTTGCCTCCGAAACGTCGTGATTTAATTATTTTATTTTATCTACGTGACTTTACCGAATAAAACCAGAGTAGTAGTCAACATTCTGCATGCAGTACTCCAGTCTCCCAGGGAAATACTCGGTGAGAAATAAATCCCCCCTGGTCGAGGGTGGGGAAGTGACCTGCGTGGGTAGTATACCTTCATTGCTGCATCCGGAATCTTGTACAAATCTCGAGTCCCAGATCCAGTCGCGCTCCACGCGAGGTTCCGAAAGCTTCTCAATGAACGGAGCACGCGGCCAGCACTCCGCCGTTTGCCCCGCCCCGTTCTCGCGCTCCGACCAATGGCTGCAGGCGGCTCTCTCTCGCCCCGCCTCCTTATTTCGGAGCCCCGCCCCACTGTCGCTAGAGCCCGCCTCCTGTTCGACAAACCCCACCCGTTGATTAGCCCCCGCCCATTTAGTTCCAGGCCCCGCCTCTTTATCAACAGACCCCGCCCCTTGCTCAATAGGTCCCTCCCACTGCTCGTCAGACCCCGCCCCCTTGTCAACAAGTTCCACGCCTTCGTCGCTAGGCGCCTCCCATTGATCGTCAGGCCCCGTCCCATTATCAGTAAACCCCGCCCCCTCATCGCTAGACCCCTCCCACCGTTCGTCAGTCCCCGCCCACAGCCTCGCCACAGCGAATTCCTTCCCTCCGAAGGCCGCGACTAAGTCCCCGGCCTCGCCTGGACGCGCCACCCGGACGCGGAGGCCGTGCACCCGGTGCGACCCCAACAGCAGCAGGCGGAGCAGGGGCCCCGGGCGACGCGGGTCGCACACGAGGAGCCAGGGGCCCTCGCCTGGGCGCGAGAGGAAGGAGAAAAAAAAAGCAAAATAAACGCGCGCAGGGAGACGCCACGAGACGCGGCGGTGAGCAGGCCGCTATGAACAGCTGATTGCCAATATGGCAGCGCCCATTGCAGCACCATGTGTGCGCCTTCCACACACACACGCACGTGTCAGCTGATTGCTAAACGCTAATTGCAATTGCGGGTGAGTAATCACAGTCGAGGTGGCGGTGAACTCGGTATCAACATTCATCAATCCACTGCTGGATGAAGACTTCGCTATCTCACACCTCCGGGAATCGTAATTGAGTACTACCTCGCGCGACTTAAAACTCGCCATGGGGCGATAAAGTGAGAACCACTTTGTGCGATATCAGCCGCTGTTTGTAATTCGGACTGACTTCGCGCCCCGCCATACCAATATGGAATTACCACCAATGGCTAAGGTACTGTAGGAGCACGAGCTGAGAGCGACATACATTGAAAGCGAGTTTTTATCATAGCCACCAATCGGCGCTGAGAGGCGGTGTTAGGGTGGTTCGTGAGAGACTTTGACTCACCGATAAGCAAGTATCGGCCCGCAAACTCCAGAGCGGTGATAGGCGCCCGGAGAAGCGTGGAGGCCGCGGCGAAGAGTCGAGGAGGGACCTGCCCCGAGGCGACCCCAGGCCCGGGGGTACACGGGGAATCGGGACCCCGAGGCAGGGACGGGAACCCGCCTGCCTCTTGCTCCATTCCGTGGCGTCGACGTTCGCTTCTTCGTCCGGGCTTGGTTGTCCCGAGCGCCCCCTTGTGTACGTACCGTGCGTGTGTGTGTGCTGTGTGTTTCAGGGGAGTAGTGGCGTAGTCGTTAGCGTATTTCGACTCGAACCCGGCTCCCTGAGTTCTAGTCCCGTGCACGGCCAACAGTGACGATTATCTGAACCGGTCCTGGGCATCCCCTAGCTCGACCCGGCCTCAAATGAGTACCTGGTGCGATGTGTAAAAGCATCGCCATTGGGGAGACAAAGGCGGTCTGGGCGTGGTGCTGGCCACCCACCCCCTCTTGTGCTGTGCCGGCTTGCGTAGGTGCTCGCTTACAGCGCTTGCCCCAACAATCTGTTAAGGATATACGGGGGGTCTCTGTATGGTTAAGGAAAGTGGTTGGCCTACTCCAACTCTCAAACCCGGCCAAACGAGTTCGATTCCCGCTCATGGCTGCCTTCAATCAGTTCATTTTGTTACATTGCCCTTTGCTGCCCACAGCATAGCATTGCAGCAGCCTATAATACCTGTTTCTTGGATGGTGGTAGCACATACAAGCATTTTTCGGGCGCAACCCTGCTCATCTTCTGAGATCGACGCATTCCGGGTGATTTGGGCACAGGCTGGCCTCTATCACTACCAAATTGAAACAACAATGCAAGATCTCCATTGCGTGTTTTCAATTATGACTGGTTTCTTATTCCCCCGGCAGGAATGTAGAATTTCTACAAACATAGATCTGCAAAGATATGACCCCCACCTCTGCGCTCGTTCAAGTGGTACACCATATTTGTTCACGTCAGTATTCTCTTGTTTGTGTTTTCCACAGGTTCCAACTTTACCAGGACCCACCACCCTTACTGGGACCACCTCCATAACTAGGACCACCTCCTCACCCGCCGATGGCGATGCCCGCTCCGTTCCGCGCCCCCAAGCGCAAGCGCTGGCCTCGCGAACCGTACGAGGGGCCCTTTCCGGTGCCCATACGTCGTCGCGCCCCTCTCCTGCTGGACGGTTCATCGCCCATCCCTCCCGAGAACAAACCCTTGGACGTGGACGTGGGCGCCGCTGACCCGTCCACCACAAGGGGTATCGGGGAGGCGCGCCAGCAGCCTGGCGGCGTCGCTCACGCCGCAGGGCCGAGCGCCGCTGTTGAGAACGAAAGTGGTTCCACGTGTGGGAACCTCGGTCTGCCTGTTGCCGCTGCTGCCACTGTGACTTTCGGCGAGGGGAGAGAGGGGAGCGAGGGGAGAGAAGGGAGCGATGGGTCAGAGCGCTACAGAGGAGAGCTGGTGCACGGTGCGGTGCTGGTGCGAGACCGCGGGGACATGGAGGCGCTGTACAGCCGAGTAAGAGCGCTCGCTCCATTCTGCACGTGTGGGTGTGTGCTTCCTGGACCTGTGACGATTCCCTACCACGTCCCCACTCCGGCTCGCAGTGCGATGCGATTCAACGTCGTCATTTGCTTCCGTAAATTGTGTCGTCTCGGTTGTGCCGTTTGGTGTCTTGTCATGAGATGAGGAATCAATTCGGAACCCTTCTAGATCAGTGTCAACACTGTGCTAGAGAACGGTCCACAGAAGTTGATGTAACAGAACTACTTCGAAGATCCCTGTCAGTGTGGAGACAACGGAGACTAGTGACACTAGCGGGTAGACTGTAGAGATCCCTAAATTCACTTGGATTCTCACGTCAACATCCCTTTTTATTATTGTTTTATTACAAGATAGAATTCAGTTAATTAACACCACTACAACCTTGAAGCCGAAAGAGTTGACTGAACAAGTGAAATGCGCTGCTCGAATCGTTTTTTCCTGTTTTGTTTTGCAGGGATTTTTTGGGAAAGGGTTTCTGTCGAAGAGCAGACCTCAGTTTTCTGAGACCCGACGTTTCACGCCTCCGGGAAGCCAGCCTTGCCGGGACCCTCGGAGGGATCGTGAACAACCCGGCACGTTACCCGGCACGCGCAGCGTGGAGGCAGACTCACCGCTTTGCGGCGCCGCTACGAGCAACGGCGACAATGACGCCGTCGAGGACGGCGCTTGCCCCCGCCAGCGCGTTGGTTCGGCCGTCGGCCGTGATGATGGAGATGACGCAGCAGGACGAGAGGTGGACAGGGACAGTGGCGGTGCCGCATGGATGGATTCAGCGCATGCCGCTCATACGGATTCAGGGGCGACAATGGCGACCGAGGGGGTGCCGGATGAATCGTGCAAGCCCGTTGTCGGGTGCCAGCAAAAGACAGAGCGCATTGCAGAGCATCTGCAGCTAGCGCCGGAGGAGGTGAGTGAATTGAGGACCTCCTTGGGGATGAATTAAAAATGGGGCAGCAGACGGCAGTGTAGAAAAATCCGTTGTACTCAACTTTCCATGCGTCCAAGTCGGCGATCTCCTGGTTCGCACTGACCGGCGTGCTGAAGTATGGTGACTCGCATGGTGTGGAGAAGCCCTCCATCCAGCACTGTATTGACATGGTTGGCTACGTACGGTGCGAAAGAAGTTAAACATTCATACAAAGGGCTGTACAAGTACATTTGGAAATTGAAAATGTAACACTGGAGGGCTTCCAGGAAATAAATTACAAGGGAATCCATTTTAATCTGGCCAACCGCTTATAACACATTAGCTCAGGTTATTAACTTTTTGCATTACAGTGCTTACATCATGCTGTCTGTATAATTTTTGGTGTGGCGCTTCTGTTTTTCTAACTTGACCCGGTTGTATTTTTTTTGCTTCAGGCATTTTTTTTGGCATACGCCCTGGGGTGCCTGACCGTCTCCCTAAACGAGGTAAGCGATGATGGCACCCTGATGACGGCGATGGAAATAAACCCGGGGCGTGGACCTTTAATTGCATGTTGACAGGCGTTCTAAATTCAGTCCGCCTGCACCATGCACCACGTGGCGTGGCGAGACGGTGAGAGGTGGTGACGGCCTCTGGAAGCCTTCTTCCAGCAGTGGATGGATCGTGGCTAGTGATGATGATGAGTGTATGGGGCGACATTTGTTTAATTCCAATAGCGCTTGTCTCTACAGTCTGTTAAAGGTTGCACGGGGGTGTTTGTCTTTCATGTGAATGTGCGAGTGTGTTCAAATGTGCATGTGTGCACACGCGTGTATAACAAAACCAGTTGTAGAGCTCAGGCCTACAAGAATATCAAGAGACCATAAACAAACAGCACTTTCAAAGTTGTAATAGAGTTTGTGCATTTATTGACTTGTGCAAGGTTACATGAGCTTGGAAAAAATAGATTTTAGGAGGAATTTCGAAAGTAGATCAGTGCCTGAGAAGAAGCAGAACGAGAAGTACGGTGGTTGACACCGTGTGGTCTGGGGTGTGTGGATGAAACGTGTGTGTGTGGATGAAACGTGTGTGTGTGTGCACACACGTGTGTGCAGTAGTGTAGCGCGTAGCGTGCTGTGCTCCGAACCCGGCGACCCGAGTTTGATTCCCGCTCACGGGCCAAAACCAGTTACGATTATCTGAACCGGTCTTGAGCATCTCCTAGGTCGACTTAGCCACAAATGAGTACCTGGTGTGGTGTGTAAACATTGCCGCTAGGGAGACAAAGGCGGTCGGGTGTGGTGCTGGCCACCCACCCCCTCATGTACCATTCCGGCCTTAATAGGTGCTCATGAGCAGCACTTGCCCCAACAGTCCGTTCACGCTATACGGGGGACCCTTGTCTTTGTGTGCACGATGCAGGAGGAGCTGTCCCTGAGTGAGCTGTGGAGAGTGTGCGTGCGCGCGTGCCCACGCTTCCTAGCCCTCTACCCGGCCTATCACTACTTCCGCTCCCGAGGCTGGGTCCCCAAACCCGGCCTCAAGTACGGAACCGACTTGCGTGAGCACCAAGCACGGCACCAGCAGCAGCCGACGCGTGCCCTCACGCTCTCACACACACCCTCCGTCTCACACGCCCCCGCTCGCACTCTCACATACTCACCCTTGCTCTCTCTCTCTCTTACACACTCACCCTCGCTCTCTCACTCTCACACACACTCTCACACCACCAGTAGGCATTGCTCACTTGCTGTCACACACAGTTCCGAGAGAGTAATTACAGTCGACTTCTCGATTATCTGGGGTGGGGCAGGGCGGGACTAATGCAGGCGGCTTTGTGGCCCAGGGTTTCCGAATTTGAGCATCCTCAAAAAATATACACAGCTTGGTAGCCGTTGAAACGCAATACTGTGGCACGATGATAAATCCTCTCGGGAATTCTGTAATTAAAACCATCGCGACACCATGTGTATCACTGCCAGTTGTGTGCCAAAATTAATATAGTTTTGTTCCTTGCTAACTTTGACTTGGCTTGACAATTTGTAAATTGCATAGAAATAAGAGACCCCCCCCCCCAAATACAATAGCCCCAGGCTCCTCATCAAATTTTAGCGAACCTGGGAGGAGGACAGCGGACAGGGGTATCCTGGATAAAACCAAAGTGCAGCTAATGACAGCGGCCTAGCGGTAGTCATCGTGAGTAATTTATCATTACGAATGCGTAACGTGCAAAGAGAAATGATTCGGAGGCGTGGGAAACCACAGACATGGGAAGGAGCCAAAACTGGCTACGGCAAATTGCCCAAGCTCCGTGGCCCGATATTGGGATGTTTGGCCAACTCCATTTATCAGTGTTTTTATACACGTGGGAGGAAACCGGAGTACCTGGAGGTAACACTCATTCCTCATACGAATGCAAACCCAATTGAAGTGAATCCACTTGCCGTACTGCCAAGTGATGGCAACTTTGACGGGAGAATCGATTAGTTTCAGTTCGTTGCTGTTCCGTATGATTGGTTCTTAAACCCAGCAGCCGCATAGCGACAATTCATTGGAATGCCGAGCGTGCCATCATCGCATGCCCATTGATAGCACACAAGCGCGAATACTCGCGCGCACACGCACCTGCATGCACACTTGCGTGTGTGCGCACACTCATAGTTTCACCTGCTCTCGTGCATTCTCACACTCGCATTGGCACACTCTCGGATGCTCTCGCATTAAGACAAAGCTCCCCCGTATAGCCTTTACAGACTGTTGAGTCAAGTGCTGTTAGCATGCACCTATGAAGGCCGGAACGGTACACGAGGGGGTCGGTAGCCAGCATCATGCCCAGCTTCCTTTGCCTCCACAGTGGCGATGTTTACACACTGCACCAGGTACTCATTTTACGGTGAGTCTACCTAGGGGAGGCCCAGGACAGGCTCAGATAATCGTCATTGGTGTTGGTCGCGAGCGGGACTGGGGTCATCGTGTTAGTAGCACAGTGCGATAACCACTGCGCCACCACTCCCCAACACTTGCATGCATGCATCCACAAACACATTTGCACCCACACACGCACGCGCACACACACACACACAGACTCAATACAGCTACATAGCCACACGTTAACCACATGCAGCTTTGTCGCTGTTTAGAGGTGCGTCATAGCTCCACGCTGTGCTGTGTTGTGTGCAGTGCTCTACCGAAAAGGACCACCCTTTTACCACGCTAGGTGAGTGTCTCCTGAAGAGTATGCGCGATATGTGTGTGTGTTTGAGAGCGTGTCCATTGTGGGGAGCGGTGTCGCAGTGATTAACGCACAAATCGAGAGACCCGAGCACCATTCCCGCTCATAACCAATAACAGTGGCGAATGTATTGAACCGGTCCTGTGCCTCCCCCGGGTCATCTCGGCCCTAAATGAGTACCTGGAGCGATGTGTTAACATCAGTATTGGGGAGACAAAAGTAACTGCACATGGTGTTGGCCACCCACCCCCTCGTGTGCCTTGCCAGGCTTGATATGTGCTCGAGAACAGCACTTGCCCCAACAGTCGGTTAAAGGCTATACGGGGGATCTTTATCATCGTGTATTTATACGTGTGTATGCGTGAGTCTTCATCCGCGCATACGTGTTCGCGTGCCCGGCTCGCGCCCATGCCCGCTCACATCCTTCCCTCCCCCCACTTCCCTGATGTGCCGTGGCCGTGGTCACAGCTACTCGGTGGTGGTGGAGATGGTGGACGGCACCAATTTCCGCGGTGACGCCTTCCGACCCTTCAGCTGGCGCTCACTCGCGGGCCTCAACCGGACGACCATGAACGTGTCCAAGGTGGCGGCCGGGTGTTAATTTTTAATTTACGAACTCAGTGGGTGCAAATATTTTTCGGCATAGTTTTTTTCTTTTTTTTTACACTTCGTTGTAGAGGTTCGCGGTTCGAATCCAGCAGCCGCCTTGGTTAATACTGCGATGTGCACTAACCACACATGTGCGCCGTCTGCTTAACAGAGTCAATGACATTTGAAAAATAATCGCCTGTTGTGTGCTGGCGTCATGGTCCAAAGAAAAAAATGACTCGCAGATTACTTAATTGGGTGAAGTCGCATCAGAACATCGCGCTCTACTGGCAGACTTATACCTGTCTGTGAAACATAGCACCTCCGTGATTGACTTGCGCTATAGCAATAGGGCAAACGCCAATAAAAACATTTGTTATCATCACTGCTAGATGGCGACGGCTTGGGGAGGTCTTCATCCAACAGTTGATAGATCATGGCTGCTTATGGCCGATGATAGTGACGATGATGATGATGATGTGATTATGTGTGTGTGTGTGTGCGCAGGAGCTGCTGCTGTGTTTCGTGGTGCGTCCTGCGGGCCTGACGGAGGAGGAGCTCTCTTCTCCCGAGTGTCTGCGCCGCTTGCGCGTGCAGGTACCGCGTACGCGCAGCGCCACACGCATGCGCCACATCAAAGACAAAGACCCCCCGTATAGCCTTAACAGACTGTTGGGGCAAGTGTTGCTGGCGAGCACCTATGAAGGCCGATACGGCACACGACGTGATGGGTAGACAGCACCATGCCTGACCGCCTTTGTCTCCCTAGTGGTGATGTTTACTACACACCGCACCAGGTACTCAATTGAGGCTTAATCGACCTAGGGGAGGCTTAGGACCTGTTCAGATAATTGTCAATGGTGTTGGTGGCCGTGAGCGGGAATCGAACCCGTGCAGACGTGCCGACTGCGTGCATGAACATCACGGTGCCGCACACACTCACAGCTCTGAGATAAAAAAAATAATATAGTGGGAAAGGAAAACGAGGTTATAAACTTCACAAAATTATTTAACATTTTTTTGTTATTTACATCCCTTTGCTGACGGAATACCTTCCTATGCCGTCATTTGGGATTGTTTGACTATACTTCACCACGCTGGTTCAATGCAGTTTGGTGAAGGGTGGCGGTGCCTCAGACAAATTCAGATATCACGCGCCAGTGATGTTAGCCTCGGCCGGGAATCGAACTCGGGTTGAGTTCGATTCTAGCACAATGAGCTAACCACTGCATTACCACTCCCCAGTACCATGCCATGAGAGTAGCATGTTGAAAAGCTTTGGCCATGGTTTTTTTTTTACCTAGGTTAAAGATCACAGGTCTTAACGTAGCTCATTATCGGCAGCATAGGTCTCTGGCTCCTTCCGGGTCAGACTGAGTCATTGGGGACCTCTGTACGACAAAAAATAGTCAAGGCAGCATTGTAGCTGATCGACTCACTCGCTAAGAGACGGGCCTCTTGAGTTTCTTGTAATGTAGATGGAAATCGCCCTTTTGCTCTGCGTGCACATTTATATCTGCACTGTACTTCCATTTTTGAAGCCCGCGCTGTAACCGGATGAATCGTCAGGAGCATGGTGAGAGAAGTGTAAGTGAGAAGGTGGCGGGTGACGATGGCGGTGGTGTCTGTGGCCAGGAGGTGGTGGTGGGGCGGTGGGTGTCTGGACGGGAGCGCGGCAACCACGACGATCTGGATCTGTGAAACCCGCTGTGGGGATCGACGGGAGGCCGACCGAAGGAGACTCGCGAGTCGATTTCTCCGGTGCTTTGGGCGAAACGAATTTGGCGGCGTGAGCGTGAGGTTTGGACGTGATACTAATCCTAACGCTCTCTATAAATGATGAGGAAAACCCGGTAGGCCCTGAGTATACATTTTAGCGACGAATCGCCCTCGGGAGAGCCAGAACAGGTTGGAACGCCACTCGCCGCTGATTTTTTCCGTAGCTGGATTTCGCTATTTTTTGACACGAGGCGCTTCCACCAGCAGTGCCGCGGGCAAGCACTTGGCAGGGCCGCACCTTGAGATTTAAATTCTACTATTGTTGTAAAATAATATTTGATAAAAGCGTTGTCGATATTGCGCATTAAAATGATATCAATGGACAGTCGTACTTTGCTTAACAAACGAAACAAATTGTGGTTTAGTTTTTTTTTTTTATGGGGCCCCCTCAGAAGTTTTCGGGCCCTGTACAATGTCCCTGTGGCACAGTCCCCCTAAATTCGGCCATGATTGTGACCACGAACTCGCTCCCCTCCCAGCATGCTTTGCATGTCACATTACATCACCTCACTGCGCATGTGTACAATGCACAACGAACCTTTAGATCACTGAGGTTAATAACTATGGCTATGTTATAATTTTTCGTGATATTTTTTGTTTACGTTACTGAGGACGTACGAGTCCATGCCCTCGCAGGCGTAGGGGTGGATCGCAAGTAATTGCAAAGGCTTAGTTGGGTCGGCTCGTTTTGGCTGCTGCTGGAAGATTGTACAGTAATCGTAAAATGTGGGTCATGATGCACAAACGCTCATTATGCGATACCATCACCCGTGGAACACCCATGTGTACGTCCAACATAATCATCAGTTTTAAGGTCAACGCATCAAATTAAAACACTCGAATTTGTACACCTCATTTGTATATTTTCTGCTATGTTGCATACCTGCCTACAAGTGTGTACACGTGTGTGTGTGTGTAGGTGTGGTTATTTTGTGTAACATTGACACAAGTTAACAAGAGTGGTGTGAATCTGCCAGTTCGTCTCGGCCTGTCGGCGCATAACACGAGGGCCTGTCCCGTGACCTCCCGGCGAAGCTGGTTATGCTTTATACGGTGTAAAAGTGCACCTAGCCAGGCACAAGCGCTGTGGTGACGTCACCATGACTTAGACGCGAACGGCGGCTGCTGTTGTTTAGTAGCAGTGCGGTGCTTTGCGTTTTGTCCTACGAAACCGGTGACACGGGTTCGATTCCCAACCTCGGATAACATCGGCAACGAGTGATATCCAAACCTGTTGTGAACCTCTCCAAGGGTGACTGGGAAGTTAAATACCTACCTGTTGCTGAGTGTAAACATCATCTCCGGCGAGACATAGGCGGCGAGGCGTGGTACCAGCCACACCGCGTCCTCACGTGCCAATTTCGGCTTTAATAGGACAGGTTCTCGCGCCAACAACAGCGCTCGCCCCAGCAGTCCGTTGAAGGCTACACGGGGAGGCGGATCTTTGTCCACGCGTGGCTCTGGGTGCTTAGGCGCAGGCACTTTGTCAATTTGTCGACTGCAGCCTGGCCCAGGCAAGCGCCCGGTGGGACTGCATTCCGCGCACTGCAGCTGCCGCTTCTGCTTCAAAAAGATCAATCGTTGTGGGTTTTAGAGGAACAGTGTCGTCGCGAGAGACAGTACCTGGTGTAGTGGGCGTGTGTGTTTGTGTTCCCGATAAAGACAAACATCCCCCGTGTAGCCTACGTATTCTGTTGGGTCAAGTGCTGTCAGTGAGCAACTAGGTTCACGAGTGCGTGTTGTGGCCAGAACCACTCTCAACCACCTTTGCCTCTTATGTGGCTTTTTTAGAATCCCACGTGATAAGCCACTTCGATGAGCTATCATGTGTGGCCGGATCACCTCTGAAAAGAGCTATATATCTCAGTGGGCTTTACCTGCTAAACAAAAGTTTATTTTTTTTGTGGCCAGCATCGTGCTGATGTTACCACCCCACATAAGGTACATACTTATTGAAGGCCGAGTCGACCTCTGGGGGTGGGGGGAGTCCCAGGACCTGTTCAGATCAATACCACAGATGTTGGCCTTTGCCAGCAATAGAACTCGCACCACTGGATTCATACCACGGTGCCACTCCCCGCTACGCTACCACTCCCCATAAGGTGCTGGGACAACAGCACTTGTCCCAGCTTACTGTGTAAGCTATACGGGGGATCTTTGCCTCGTGTGCATGGGTGCCGTGCGTGTTGGAACATCGGTGCAGATTACGTGTGCGTTCGGCAGGGAGGAGCTTTGGTCAGGGCGAGAGAGAGAGAGGAGGAGGTCTCGCTGGCTGGTGCCAGGACCCCAGTTGGTGCAGCCCCCAACACCACCACCACCTCCTCCTCCTCCAACTATATAGGCACCCGAGCCGTCCGCAGAGCTCACGTTAGTGCCTGAGTGCTGACGGGACCCGTCGCGCGTCCTCTGCTACTCGGCGAAATACACGCACGCACGCACGCGTACACAGTCAGCCGGTGACAACAGCCACTCCCAAGTTTACTGCCGCCTCTCTCTCCCTGCGTGACAGCCACCATGGTGAGTTGTGCCCGCACCGTCCGTCACCCCGTGGGTCTTTCTGCTGCTCTCGACGATCTTTGACGGTGGACGTGCGCGAGCTTTTGTCGACACCGCGCGTGCGTTGCAAGTCGGCTCCGTGTGCAGGTGCCGGGTGGATTATTACAACGCGGCGTTGTCCAATGGAGGAGATACAACCCCCCCCCCCCCCACGCCAGATGAATGTGGAATTTCCACCACTGGCTGTGGGCTATAAATGGGAAATTAGCACTGCCGCAATGCTCATTTCATCAAGAAACCGCTGACTTTTCAACTTAGATTGAGAGATGGCGACGGCTTGAGGCGGTCTTCATCCAGCAGTGGATTGATCATGGCCTATGTTACGGTGTTTTAATATGTTAGTGCACTATTTTGTCCCGTGGTAGATGTTTTGACCCCCCTACAAACTTGCCACGTACACATTAACAGACTGAACCTGCGGAGCAGAAGAACCTTTATGAAAGATCATCTGTAACGCATTTTTTATTCCCAGCGTCTGGCAAGCCTCGTGCGTTATTACTCGTGCCGTAAACTATCATGCGACATCGCAAGCGCGCGTTATGTCGTAACACTGCGCACATTCAACACTCGGGCGGCAAAGGTGCCCAAGTTGGTGGCAACTTTGCGGCTGGTGGCTCGGTGACCGATGGGAGTGGACGTTCCAATTTTGCTCTCTCTCTCTCTCGCCCTCCCACCCCCGTGGCTTTAATTGCAAACTGCTTCGTCACCGCTGAAGTTTTAACCCTTCCCTAGCCACCGGGGCAGCAGTGTTGCCGTGCCTGCTCTAGACTTCACGTGCAAGTTGGCCGATCCCCCCCCCCCATCGTCACCCCCCGGGGCCCGATCTATATTTGGCTGGGCGAGCACGCCCTTATCAGGACGGCATACGTGGGGGTGCGTGGACCACGCGTCCTTGGGCCCCCCCCCCCCAAGCCCCACACGCATGCCCCCCTCGTGCGTATATATAGGTGACTGGCTGCCTGACAGCGCGCGTACCAATTTGTGACCCGAATTTATCAAGTTACCGTAAGATGATTCGTTTGGAGCAGTGGTTCTTAACCTTTACTACAGCCTTGCACCCCTTTGGGTCTCGGTCGTTAGAAAATGTATAATTTTAATACATCCGTAGGTTTGATGAAACAAAGTTGTACTTAACGTGTGCCCGTGCGAGATGCACCCCCCAGGTTAAGGAACCACTGCTTTAGACACGCTGTTAAATCATATGGCCGTTTCCTGTGAATGTTGGACTTGGGTGAAGATGGGACGTTCGTTCCGAAGAGTGG